ATGTTTTATATCAGATCTTCAGACCAACTCATCTTAGAGCTTATTGCTTATAGCTAAAAGTTTGTACCCATTTACAAACCTCTCCCTATTTTCCCACCCTAGCCCCTGGCAACCACTTTTCTACTCTATGTTCTACGAGTATGACTTTTTTTTTTTTTAGATTCCACTTATAAATGACATCATGATACCATGAAATATTTTTCTTTTTCCATCTTATTTCACTTAACATAATGTCCTCAAGTTCCACCCATGTTGTTATATATAGTAGCATTTCCTTCTTTCTAATGGCTGGAAAATATTAGTCTATATATGTATATAGACACATATAGTACATTGTTATTTATATATTATACATGACTATTTTCATTTATAATATTATAGTTATCCACTTATAATTGTATGTATTATCCTATACAATATTATTATACATTATTTTAATATATACACAGTGTATATAAACACAATAGAATATATATCTCACATCTTCTTTATCCATTCATCCATCGATGGACAAAAAAGTTGTTTCCATATCTTGGCTATTGTGAATAATGGTGAAATAAACATGGTAATACAGGTATCTCTTTGATATCATGTTTCATTTGTTTTGCATATATGTACCAGGAGTGGAATTTCTGGATCATATAGTAGCTCTATTTTTAATTTTTTGAGAAAACTCCATACTGTTTTTCACAGTGGCTACACCAATTTATATTCCCACCAACATTGCACAAGAATTCCCTTTTTTCCTCATTCACGAACACTTTTTATCTCTTGTCTTTTTGATGATAGCCATTCTAACAGATATGAGGTGTTATTGTGATTTTGACTTGCATTTTCCTGATGATTAGCGATCTTGAACACTTTTTTGGGCACTTGATGGCCATTTATGTCTTTTATGGAAAAAATGTCTATTAGGTTCCTTTGCCCATTTTTAAAATCATATTGTTTGCTTTTTGCTATTGAGTTGTATGAGTTCCTTATATACTTTGGACATTAGCCTGTTATCAGATATATGGTTTGCAAATATTTCCTGCCATTCAGAAGGTTGCCTTTTGTTTTGTAGATAGTTTCCTTTGTTGTGCAGAAACTTTTTAGTTTGATATGGCCCCATTTGTTTATTTTTGCTTTTGTTGCCTTTGCTTATGGTGTCAAATAATATAAAAAAAAAAATCATTGACAAGACTGATGTCATAAAGTTTACTCCCTGTGTTTTCTTATAAGAGTTTCAGGGCTTCAGGTCTTAAGTTTAAGTCTATTTTTCTGAGTTGATTTATTATATGGTATGAGATAGGTTTTATTCTTTTACATGTGGCTTTCCATGGTCTCATGTAGGAGATAAATCAATTAGCCTGGCTTGTTTTCCTGGTTGTCTCTGAAATCTTTGTGGTTGTCCAAGTCATCTTTTGTTCTTAGTGGCCCCAATCAGTTGAGGGTGTGCCAAAATCCATTATTGTCTCAAAGGGAAGCAGTCAGCACCTAAATGTAGGCTAGTTGGAGGCTGGTCCCCATAGGCAAGAGCTGGGAAAATATGTAGCTAGACTACTTCCACGGAGTAAGTGGTAGTTATGAGTTTTTGCCTACTTTCTCTGCACTGGGCTGGGGTGTATTGCCACAGGAGGTACGTTTGAGCTTACTAAGAACTTCTTTGTTTACTATAATCCTGTGGGACTACTGAATGCAAGTACCATTGCCTCTCTGAGCCAGGCAATCCAGGCACCCATATTTTAGGTGGTAATTGATAAAAGCAGGGAGAAAATCAATACAATACACTGCAAACAATGCAATGTGATGCAATACAATACAAAAGTGCAGGGGGTGGGGGGGGGCGGAAATTACATGGTTAAAGCAATTGGGGGAAATGGAGGAAAAAAGGCAGGAGAGAAGGTAAGCTATTATAATAGGGACTGCATCTTAGTCTTTGTTATATACTTGGCAGGGAAAACAGACAATATAAACACATTTATTAAGCACTACGTATATGCTGGGGTATGGTATGGTTCCATGCACTTTAATCTTTGTAATCTCACTGCAAAGCAGCTATTAGTATGTTTTCAGAGGAAACAGAAAGCTTAGATAACTTGCCCAATGTGTGGGATACAATGTCTTTCATACACCAGGTCTTGAATCAATACTAGCTGAATAAATGAGTACATATTTATTTATATGAAAGATATCTTGTGAATTTTCCTTGCTGTGCTTTTTTCTAACATTTCCTAGAAAAATGCTAAAATCATTCATTACAGCTAGGGAAAAGACTGTGATAATTGGTATGGAGTCATAGCAACAATAACAGTAATGGCTGTAACACATGTAGACTTCCTGTGAGTTGGCCACTGTTTTGGTTTACAGATATTAACTCATTTAATCCCAACAACACTATGAAGTAAATAAAATCTTTATTCTTTATTTTACAGATGAGGAAATGGAGGTGCAGAGGGGCGAAACAGCTTGTTAAAAGTCATCCTGTTGGTAAGTAGTAAAGCCAAGATTTGAACCTTGAGAGATGAGCCCCAGGTTGTATTTAATACCTCTGCCCTATCTTGCCTCTAGTTCCTTGCTGCCTTTCACCTAGCTTCACTTTTGGCTTCACGCCCAGATCAAGATTTCCCTAATTTCTTCATTCAGGCCTCATTACAGCCACTTTGGCAAGCACTGCTTTCCAACACCAAAGGAAAATATCAATAGACTTCCCAGTTTTTTCTGTAGGAAAGGCAAAGTGAAGTCATGGAATAAGGTACCAACCTCTTCAGCTTTCAGGTGGCAGAGGAGGGGAACATAAGTCAACCTTGCTGTGTTTCCCAGATTACTACCTCAGCAGATGAACAAATAAAACTTGCTTGATGAGCTTCCTCAAATCAAGTGGGTCAAAGACATGAACAGAAAATTCAAAAGAGGCCAATATTTTTATCTAAAAAAATCAACCTTAGCTAGATTCATTCTTATTTAATTTTTTGCTTTGAGATTGGCAAACTTTAAAAAGATGTGGCTGATGTGAGGGGCATGAGGGATAGTAAGAAGGTAGGAGGAGGATTGCTGAATTATAGACTCTGGTGAGGTTGAAGTAATGTTGGAGTTGTGTGAAAGTGAATGGACTGGAAGGACAGGAGGTAGTGATCAGAAGATGGGATTTTAAAATTGAGAACGTAGAGAATTTGAACTTACTGATAATTTATGACTAAGGCTATAGCACCATAGTCCAATAAAAATATAATGTGATTCACGTATGACATATTTTGGTGAGATATTTAAATTCTTTTTTTACATAGTAATTCTTCAAAACTTGTGTATTTTACACTTAACAACACAGCTTTAAAAAAATTTTTTTAATGTGTATTTATTTTTGAGAGAGAGACAAGAGTATGAGTGGGGGAAGGGGCAGAGAGAGAGAGAGAGACACAGAATCCGAAATAGGCTCCAGGCTCTGAGCTGTCAGTACAGAGCCTGACGTGGGGCTAGAACTCACAGGCCATGAGATTATGACCTGAGCCAAAGTCACACTTAACTGACTGACCTATCCCAGGTGCCCCACAGTTACAACACATCTTAACTTAAACTAGTCACATTTCAAATGCTCACTAGCTACAAGTGGCTAGTGACTATTATATTGGATGGCACAGCTCTAGAGTATGACCATAGGTTAAGTGGTCCGGTAGAGAGACCAAGGTGTTGGAAGGATCACCTATGTGAATACTGGAATCACCAAGAATATTACTCAGTCACTAAAAAGAACATGTTAGAACTACATGTAGAGTTGGAAAAATCCCCAAGACATATGGTGAAGTAAAAATTAATTTTCATTATAATATGTATGGTTAATATTATTTTAAAAAATATGTCAGTTACAAAAGAATATTGCAATGAAAGAGACATGCTAACTTGATGGTGGTTACCTCTGGAGAATGGAGTAGATATAGGATGTGGGAATGAAGGACATCTTGCTTTATTTATTTCTGGGTCTTTTAAATATTTTACAATGAGAAGGTATTCATGTACTCTTTGCATAGTAATTTTTCAAACAGTTAAAATATGAATACCATTGATCCAGTTATCAGTTTGACTTGGTTCCCCTCGTCCCCCATCACCTGCCCTTTCCTCAGTTTCACGTATCATGAATTATTCTGAGAATACAAAGCTGGACGGCAAACTAGCTATTTTTATCATTTTCATTAGCAAGAGGGTATGTATTCCAGTTTGTTATCTATGCTGTCGTAAAGCACCTTGTTAAGACTTCCGTTTCTGCTTTGTGTTGCTTGGGACCTCAGATGACCACATCTTATCTCAAGATGTATATGATTAAGCCAAGGAGAATGAACTGTGGGGTTTGGGGTTCCAGTCTGTGCTTTATTCATCAGTATTTATTTTCTCAACTAAGATAAATGTGTAGCTCAGAAATGCTCAAGAAGACATAAAGAAACATCTGGTAATCTCTTTCTTTAGATTTTGAGCTTTGTGAGGGCAGGGTCTAAATCTCTGAACCCCTGGTGTATTAATGCACATTACATAATAGGCACTCAATAAATGTTCTTTAAACAGCACATGTGTTAATGGTAAGAGGCTAGAAAGTATACACAATCAGAGTTTAGGGCAGACTGTGTGTTAATTTCTACGTGTTGCTTTCCTAATGAAGTTTCCACTTCTCCTTCAAAATTTAGGTCAAATGTCACTTTTCCCCCTTAGCTTTCCCTTCTGGACAAGTAGTTAACAGCCATATCTTCAATGTGCCCACATAATTATTTGTATACCTCTTAAACCTTCTCTTGCTATATGTTCACATTTTAAATTTCTCTTCTAATTGTGAGTTCCTTTTGGGTTAAAGACCATTTCTTATTATATATTACCCAGTGCCTGAGATATAACAGGGGCCTAATAAATGTCTGGTGAACGAATGACTATATGTATAGAGCAGACCTTGTCATCTCAAACCTATTCCCACACACAGGAGGAAAGAAAGATGAAACTTACATTTAAATAGTGAATTACAGAATATTTATTGAGTACCTGCTATAGACTAAGCAGGAGGAACAGAAACAAACTGTCTGGAGTTAGTTTTAACTCCTTCAGCAATGCCGGATTCCTCATCATAAAAAAAATCCCATTCTGCTGATTTAGTATTCATTCACTCTTTGATTAATCATCACGTACAGTTTTCTCAAGTGTACTTTCAAATATTGCATAATGCCGTAGACCATTAAGTATTCCAAAGACTGTCTGAAAGACCAGAGGAATCATCATTGCTTTTACCTCTGTTTGACAAAGCAGCAACCAGTAAAGTAAAACCCTTCCTTTTGGTGGCAATGGAACAGTATGATACCTAAAAAGGAAAAATAATTAAGCACTTCTTCTGGATGTATTTTCTATGAAAAGTTCATTGGTTCTCTTAAGTGGATAATTTCAATTCCAAGGTCTTTCATGTAGATAGCAAAAAGGTTGAAAGCTAGCTATTTGAAGTACCAAAGTACATTTTGATTAAAATGTGTCATTGGCAGCTAAAGATAAAGAAAAATTTAACATTAAAAAAATAAACAAAAACAAAAGGAGGGAAGGAAGGAAGGAAGGAAGGAAGGAAGGAAGGAAGGAAGGGAACAGATGGACTTACTTGACTGCCAGGCGTCCAGTTTTAGAAAAAGCCAAACCAGTGGGATATAAAACACCACATACTATGCCAACCAGTGAACTTCTCAGAACACAATTTTCCTGGCTTATATTGCCTGGAAAACAAAAGGAAATTTAGTCTCCTTTTAAAACTCAGGATAAGAACAATTAAGACAGTCTTGTGTCCTCACAGAGTAGTTATCTGTACTGTCCTCAATTATAGTGAAAACAATAGAAATTCAGTCTCTAAGGCACATGATAAACTAAGAGCATCATGTTTAAAAAATGCCTTTATTACACTTAATGTAAGGTGAGTTATCTCTTATAAATTTGGTTTTTGCAGAAGCAATTTTATAATGAGAAATATTAAACAGCAGACCCAGACATCTGGATTCTAGGCTAATGCATTTTTATTGTCTATGTGTTAGGCATGTGTTAGTGATACAATGCTACATAAAAGAGACCCAAACTCTAACCTTTAGGTGAGTCCAGTAGGAACAAAAGAACTAGACAAATATTTAAATAATTTTTTAAGTGTGTACAATGCTTTGAAGGTAAAACGAATAGAGAATGTGTCTAGAAACCTAACCTACCCTGAGGGAATCCGAGGTTTCCCTGGGAAAGAGATATGTAAGTAGGGACCTGATAAACAGGATTCAGAGGTTCCATTAATTACCAGTTGTGAAACTTGAGGTAAGGGGAGGAGGTAGGAAATAACATTAGAAGCCCACACAATAAGCCAGATATCTCATTAGGCATTTAAGATATTGTATTTTAATGATCACAACTGTCCTGTGAGGTAAGTACTAGTAGTCCTAATTTATAGATAAGACAATTGAGTCTCAGATATTAAATGACTTATCCAATGTCACAAACTTAAGCAGTGGGGGGTAGAATCTGAAATCATGTGTGTAGAATGCCAAAGCCTGCTTTTTGTATTATGTTGCTTTCTAACATACGTGAACATGTCTTAGTTTTGGTTGTGTACCTGTAAAAAGGACACAATACTATTTGTTCTGCCTCATCAGGAGGATTGTTGTGATGAGGAAACAGGACAATATAGGTAAAGGTACTCTGTGGGTTGTAAAGGAATATACAAGTGTAAGTGATCATTATAAATGGTAGCAAAATTTTGTGTTAATGTGTAATTTTAGACATAAACACATTATACATTAATGAATTTAAATTTACCCAAATACAAAGCATCTGTTACAAGGAACTTATAAGCGACTACAGTAGACAAAAACGGAAGTGTAGTCACTGATGCATAAGTCTTCAAAGCATCATGTTTAACCTTGAAGCAGTGTCTGAAAATGAAGTTCGCCAACATTCCAGAGAAACTAGCTGCTGTTCCAAAGAACACTGTGCCATACACATTTAAAGTCCTAACAGGGAAAACATAGAGAAAAATTACATTCAACATAATATAGTATTCTCTTAAAGGATATATCCTTTCCTGGGTATAACCAACACCAAATATTTCTTGAATACTTACGATGCAAGAGACATTTTCTCTGTGCTGAGGATGAGGCACTGATAAAGAATATTAAAAAACAAATCTCACTTCTCATGGAACTTTCATTCTAATGAGAGGATAATTCTCTCTCTGAGATCAATTAGAGTGGTTCTAAAATGGAACTCTTTTAAGAGATAAATTCTGGTCACAAATAAAAATTAGTATGTTCTAGTATAGCCAAATTTTATGAGATATCTAAGAATGCTGCTCTTGCTAAAAGGATTAATTTCTTAAGTCATATGAACAAAGTTGTTTACATTTTGGTTAGTCCTTCTAGCAAATAACTATTTCTTAATTAGTCCAGATATATTTCAAATAATTTGTCTAGGATTTCCGAAACTTCATGCAAAGAGATTTGATAGGTCTAGTTTTATTTATTCCGATCATACCTAAATTCATAAATGTCTGAGGTCTAAGATTAATGTCCTTTGTTAATGTCCTCTGTTAATCTAAGTGGTAATGTGAGATAATATGTACACCATGGCATCTGTATTCCTTTTTTGCTGAATTCAGCACTGTGATGAGTCAATTAATTCTAAACTGAATTTAATTACAATTGAACATCAATTAAATATAGATAGCTCCCCAAATGGTATTCTCCTAATTGCTTTTAATTTAAAAATGTTTATTATACAAATAACATTTCAACAATAATTCTGGACTTTTTTTTTTTTAAGTTTATTTATTCATTTTGAGGGCACCTGGGTGGCTCAGTCAGTTAAGCATCCAACTCTTGGTTTCAGCTCAGGTAATGATCTCACGGTTAGTGGGTTTGAGCCCCATGCTGATAGCACAGAGCCTGCTTTGGATTCTCTCTCTCCCTCTCTCTGCCCCTCCTCTGTTAGCTCTCACTCTTGTTTATTTTGAGAGAGAAAGAAAGAACACCAGTGGGGGAAGGGCAGAGAGAGAGGGAGAGAGACAGAATTTCAAGCAGACAGTGCTTGTGAGCCCAACTTGATCTCACAAAGAGATCGTAACCTGAGCTGAGATCAAAAGTGAGACACTTAACCAGCTGAGCCACCCTTGTGCCCCTGGACATTTTATTTTTAAGAAGCAAAAGAAATTATCCACGGTCTCAATATTACAACAAACCACTATTTTCATCTGTCCATACTTCTCTTCAGTTTTTTTTATAAGCTTTTTTATAACCAACTTAATAAAGTTAATAGATCTTAGATACTTAGAAACAACAGTAATACAGAAGATCTGCAAATAAAGTTATTGACTGTCAGTCTGGGTGTGTCTCTTACTTTTCTTTTCTAAGATACTCCATTTTTTTTTCTATGATTTCGATGACCATGGGTCTTCTGAATTTTTCATCTCCTAGAGAAACACTGGGCTGACCATGTGTGTATGTTGCCATTCTGATGTCCTGGAAAACACAAAATTTCAGAACCATAATAGCTAATGATATTAATTATAAATTTTATAAATTTTAGATTCCAATTAAAAAACATTTAGACCCTAGTAAAATGTCATCTGCTTTCACATAGTGTCCATGATTCAATCACTATTTAGCAGCTACTATTTAGTAGACAATGGCTTTTTGAGAAACTGGCAGGATAATAATCATCTCTAATTTTATACTTTTATAGATGAGAAAAATGAGGTTCAGAAAGGTTGACTTGCCTTAAGACCTAGTGTAGAAGGATAACTTGCAGAGATACTGAGTTTTTGTTTTCCTTACAGTTTTCCTCAAAGGTAGCCAGGTCCTATGTAGTTCTTTTTCTAGCTTTTTCAAAGCTAGAAGGAAACAGTAGGTACTTGTTGACAACTATCTCATGAAAGCCTGACCTCCTTTTGGAGATTATGTTTCCTGGAGATGGAAGAGAGCAGGGACTGCCTTGGAGAATAGTGAGAGAGACATCAGAAAGAGGGACACTGTTCCATGCTAGGAAGAGGTAGTAGATCATGGATACCGTGGATTACAGAAATTATATATCCAGCCCCCTCACCTGGGGCAGAAGCCACAGCCTTTGCTGGAAACTACATGTGGCACATGAGGGAGCTGGGACCCAAGGTACTGAGCTTCAGGGTTGGAAGGCTCCAGTGTCCCAAGTGTAAAATATGAACAGACAGTTGCCAATGTCAAGGGACCATGAGGGTTTGGCCAGTAACATCTTAAGAGAAAGTAAAAAATAGTGATAAACACAACAAAACAAAATCGGATCCTCAAACAGGATCCTTCCTGAATGCTTTGCTCTGGTTAAGACTTTCAGGTCTCTGAAAAGTCTTAATAATGACATTTGTTAAACCTGTTGCCACATTGGTATTATGAGATTCCAGATTAGCCGATGAATAGATTACAAAATCATGGCCCTTCACAATTTATACCAACTTCTGTTTTAATATTTATAGTCAAGAACACAGACTAGATCTCAAATTTCAGGAGTCCTGGGCAAGAGAATTAGAGTGGATTAAGCATAATGAACACAGAAGATAATAAATCAGTGATTCTCAACCTTTAGTGTACACAGGAATGACATGGGGGGTTCATTTTAAATGCAATGTCTTGAGCTCCCTCCTGAGATATCTGGATTCAACAGGAATAGGGGTAAGTCTAGAAATCTGCATTTTATTTTATCTTTTTTTTTTTTTTAAAGTAGACTTCATGCCCAGTGCAGAGTCCAATGCGGGGCTTGAACTCAAGCAGCCTTGAGATCAAGACCTTAGCTGAGATCGAGTTGGATGCTTAACTGGAAGCTTACAATTGAGCTACCCAGGCGTTCCACAGAAATCTGCATTTTAATAGTACCAAGTGATTTTGCCACTGGTTGTCAGTGGACACATTGCTGTAATTGTTGAACATCACTGTAATACTCATTTGCTGAGTAAGTGATATGTACCAATCCTAACTAATGAAAGGTCAATTCATTCATGGCATCAACATCCTGAAAGTACGGGCTCCTTTGAACTTTCGTATGTTAATACACAATAAGTAATAATGGGCATGTTTCTTTCCTTGTATCACTGCAGAATTGGACTCAAGCCAGTACTATCTTTTTCTTTAAAATATCTGGGAGGACAGGGAAAAAAATTATAAATTACAATTTCTCAGGGAGTAGATTTAATCTTTTGGCTCTTTCAGACATCTAAATGGAAAATGGAAGAGACAGTAACATCTAAGGGAGATTCTATATCTAAGCCATCTAATGTACTATGAAGGCAGGTATCAGTAATGTGGTAATTTACCAAAAATCTTGGATAAAGTACTTATTTTTCTGTCATTCAATTCATTGATGACATTGAAGTCCCTTACTTCCCACAAAGAAAACTCTCAGGCAATGCTTTGAACCAAGCTTCTACCCTACTGACAGTCTACACTATCAGTTTATAGGGAACCCAGACAACTAGTATAATGATTCTAAAATCCTGAAACAGGACAGATACTTATTGAGCACAAATATTTACTGAATGCCTAGTCTTTGGAAGGCACTGTTTATTAAAGCAGAGAAATAGGCTGGTAATTTTCTGATAGACTTTTACCAGGTGCTGAAATGTAAAGACTGCTATAACTAACATTTTATCTAAAAATTGACTAGTCCAAGGTCACCATGATTATACCATTACGAGTGTATGTATCGAGGTTTATAGTCTGGAAAGTATTTTACAGTTTTGTAGTGCTTTTATGTGTATTATTTTGCCTGACTTTCAGAACTTTAATATTCACTCATCATTTACACAGCACCTGATATTTGCCAGACCCCAGGATAATTAAAAGGTAGATGTATCTTCTAGAACCCACAAACCGGCCAACGTGAGGACAAAAAGGCAGGTAATTTACAGGCAGAAATTAGCGTGCCATACAAACGAAACTAAACGGAACAAAACCAAAACCATAAGAAAAGCCAAACTTAACCTGGCCAGGGGAAGCGTGGGAAGGTTTCCCGGAGTAAGTGAAATTTAACCGAATAGCTGAAGAAGGTGAGGTGGGGAGGGATGGTTACAGGGAAGCACTGCAAGTTGAAGGAAAGGCCAGCGCAAAGGCCTGGAGGCCAGAGAAAGGAAACATCAAGCAATCGGGACTAGACTTTAGGTCTCCTACTTTGTCTCCGTCTCTTTCTATAGCAACTGGGGGCTCCATTGATTGCGCTCTGCATGGACTTGGAGGCTCTTCTCTTTATTTCCAAATCCCATAATTTCGGAAGAGTCCGCTAACATATTGAGGCTGCAGAAATCACGACTCCTACCGCCCTGGGTTTCCGCCTACCTTGGACGCTTCCCCAGTTCTGACCGGCAACACACCTGCATCCTTCAGGTCAGCCCCAGCCTCACGCCCAAGCGCCGCCATTTTGGCGGCTCACGTGACTAGCGGTGGGCGGGGACCCAGAACGTCCGCCCCGAGCGGGAAGTGGTGCGGGCTCACGCCTCAGCCTGCAGCCCGGCCCTCCCCAACTCAGTCAAAAGCCGCGCCCTCCATCCTGGCTGTGATTGGGCACGGCATCCAGAAATGAAGGCCTCTCATTGGCTTCGAGGAGGTCCAGACGTCCATGGTCCCGCCTTCTTGCCAGCCATGCATTCCCTTATCCTGCTGTGTGTTAGCCTAGCTCCCTCTTCCCTCAAGCTGAGGGGGTGCGTGAGGCGGTCCGAGCGCAGGGATGTCGCGCGCTTTCCCCTCTTCTGGGCACCTCTGTTAGCGGGGGCCGAGCTGTCCGCCCCATTCGCTCCTAGAGGGAGTTCTTCCCTCTGGCCTGGTCCGTGTGTTAAGGCTTCCCGGACACCTCCTCCCCAGAGCCCCCAACCGGCCGCCAGAGCGGCCCCGACCAGCCTCCTCCCCGCTCCCCACCTCATCCTCCCAGCGGTGTGTCTCCTCTCCCAGTCTTTAGTTACCTCATATTCCATCTTTTCACCCCATTTGGAAGGGACCAGAGAAAGACACCCCCCCCCCACTCCCCAAGAAGACCCCTTTGCCAGCCGGTGTTTCGGGGTGGGGGTGGGGGGCGCTGCGAATAGGCCTGGCGCCCTTTTGTGCACGTTCAGTGCCCAGCAGTATCTCCCAGACCAGCAACCCCCGACCCTCCAGTCTCCATGTCTTAGAGAAGCCAAATTCGAGAGTTATATAATTTCTAGTGCTGCTGTTTTTCCTGCCTGAGGCAACACTTCATCGCGTGGAGGGTGCAGGACATTTCTGTGCACTTCTATATAAGAACGGGGTGTGGGCAGGGGTGGCCAGCGGTAGCAGAGAGATTTCTTGTGTTTTCTGCAAAAGGAAGGTGGGTAGTTTGGAGAAAGATAGAAAGGGTGGATGTGGAAGCTAAGCAGCAGAACTCTCATTTAGGAAATCGCGAACCGTTTGCACAGCTTGTGCTCACATGCCTAATACTACTACATCGTCTCAGAAAACACCTTTGGGGGAAGGTTTGACTTCTCTCGAACAGTCTCAGTGTTTTTCCTCGCCGGATAGGGAGCTGCTTGGATGCGAAGAGATGGCATGATGTGAATGACTCCAGTGTGAAGAAATCTGCTTCGCCAACTCATCCTGCATCAAGTGCCCATTGAGTAGCACTGTCACTTTAATGTCTCCATGCCAAGGGATTGCTTTCCTTCTTTTCAATCCTCTCGGTTAATACATGGGAGGATCAGAATCAGAGGGGCATTAAGGATTAAGCCCGAGGGGCTTGGAGAGCACTGAAGAAAAAAATGAAAGTGACAGCAAGCTGGATCCTGTCTTACTGAGGGGGTGAGATCTGGAACTTCTGGTCCAGTAAATAAAAAGGGGGCCTTTCAGTCTGTGTACTGCCCCAGAAAACTGTTCAAACTCACCCACCTTTTTAGACACCAGAGTCAAAAAGGTTTTTAAAAGTATTTTTTGTTGGGGAGATTAAATTTTTCTCTAAAGAATTGAGAATCTTTATCATCAACCAGTTCATCTGAATTCGATCATGTATTGAGTAATGAGACAGCTGTATAAATTTGGTTTGTGCCTTAATTGAGTTAGTCATTGAATTCCAAAAATGTTGATGCCTGAAGAAGAGTTTTAATAACATTTTCTATGCTTACGATAATTTTCTCAAATTTTTTTTAACAGAATAAATATTTTATAAAAATCGAAAAACTCAAGGTTATTTTTTCCTGAACTCTGTGGGCAGTGTCAAAAGTTTAATTGTGGGGAAAAATACATCATTTTTTTCCTTATTGAAAGAGAAGACAGCCTGGATTTCAAAATTGAACAGTGAAGTGGTTTGCAACAGTTACCTGGCTCTTGGCCTCAGTCCAGCTGGATCAAGTTGAGACCTGAAAAGATCTTGAATCCTGTGGCAGTGGTCAGACCCAAGAATGCCAGTCAAGAAGAAAGGTGGGCAATGAAGCTTCCTATATAATATATGTTTCTCCCTTTTTTTGGTTCTGGTATTTGCTATTTAAACTGTTTTCCATTTGAGAGTAAAATTTTCCTTGGGCTTTGCGAAATATTTATTGTAATAATGTCTTCTCTGTGGTACATCATTAATATTATTTTGCTAAAGTAAAATGAAGTAGGGCTATAGTATTTAATTACAGACATTTGTGATTTCATAAATCAGGTTGTCTAAATTACCATTCATAATCAGCATAAATTTGATATCACAGATTTGAGCGTTTCTTTAGCCTGTGTTCTTAGCTTGTTAAAGGTTACTTTTGAACAATCTTTAAAAATAAAATTTGCACAGTGGAGCTCTTCCTCATGGATTTAATATTTATCAAGTGAATTACCTAGTTGTGAAAGATAACAGAGTTGTTTATACTGAACAAAATTATGGATTTATCAATCTTCTGATTAAAAATAGATTTCATGCTTGGGTTTCCTGTAGTGTAAATATTCACTTCTGTGATGAAGCACAACTCCAGTAACTGCTGTGCTTTTCCAGAGGGTATGTGTCATCTAAGAACACAATTGACAAGTTTACCAAATGAGGCAAACCTCTGACTCCCTGCTCCCTCTCCAGAATTGATCAAGATCCAGTGGTTTCCTAAAGTATAGTTTATTTTAGGTTAGGCCAAGGGATTCACTTTAACCTAGATCTACCCCAGGTTAGCTTTGTTCCCAAGGATCCTCATGAAACCAGTTTTTGTTGTTGTTGTTGTTGTTGTTGTTGTTTTGACATAGCGTGGAAGATCAGATCAACTATAAAGAATTTTCTCGAGGTATTTTTAAAATTTATTTATTTTGAGAGAGAGTGGGGGGCGGGGGGCAGAGAAAGAGGAAGAGAGAGAATCCCAAGCAGGCTCCACACTGACAACATGGAGCCCAAAGCTGGGCATGAACCCATGAAATGTGAGAGATCATAACCTGAGCCGAAACCAAGGGTGGGATGCTTAACCGACGGAGCCACCCAGTGGCCCCTCTTGAGAGTTTCGAACCAAAATTTATTCGACACCCTTGGACTCCACTATATCGGGCTAGCATAGATCCAAGTGCTGACCAGTTATGAGTTGCTACACACTGAAAGTAAAGGTCAGGTGAGGTTAAGGCAATCTGGCTCTGCACAATGTCTAATCCTTCTACCTGTGGACTTGGAAGATGCATTGAGGAAAGTCAATAATCAGTGAGATACTTTAGCCAACTGGTATCTATAGAGATGGACAATGATATATAAAACCTCTGAAACACCTAGAAATGTTCCTTTGTACATTGGATTGAAGACTGGGGTTGTTTTCTTCTTCTGCTGTCCCCCTTAATATCACCAAGAGAAACAAAACTCTCTGTGAGATTTTGGAGCCATACCTGTCCAGATCTGGCACAGTTGGTTTGTCTGGAACAAGAATGGTTTTGGTAATGTAGCCAATAAATGGCATGGCTCTTTGACTTACTTCACTTTGTGTTTTTACTCTCTCTACCACTTGTTCTCTAGACATTGTCCCTTTTGGATTGCCTTATTTTAGACTAATAATTGAATTTAAACACATTGTCTAGGTGTATATGTAGTGGGGGGGGGGGAGAAGAGGGGAAGAGAGAATGGAGAGAGGGAGGGTAGAGTGAAAGGGATAAAAAGGCATCTGGAAATGAGGTGGAGAAAGGTACTTGATGTTCTAGGTATAATTTAACTAAGCAGGTGTCTTTTTTTAAAATGATGTCTTAAAAATATTATTGATGTATAATTGGTACACAGCATTACATTAGTTTCAGATGTGCAACATAGTATGGCAAGTCTGCACATTATACTTTGCTCACAAGTGTAGCCCCATCGGTCACCATACAACTCCATTATAATACCTTTGACTGTGTTCCCTGTGCTGTATCTTTTATCTTCATGACTTATTCATTCCCTAACTGCAAGCCTGTACTTCCTACTCCCCTTCACCCATTTTGCCCATCCCCCCTACCTGTCTGTCACCCAACCTGGCAACCATCTGTTTGTTCTCTGTGTTTATGGCTCCGTTTCTGTCTTTTGTTTGTTTATTCAATTGTTTTTGGTTTTTAGATTTCAGATATTAGTGAAACCATATAATATTTGCCTTTTTCTTTCTGACTTACTTCACTTAGCATAACACTCTGTAGGTCCATCCATGTTGTCACAAGTGGCAAGATTTTCATTCCAGTGTATGTGTGTGTGTCTGTGTGTATGTGTGTACCACATCTTCTCCATTCATGTGTTGATGAATACTTGGGTTGCTTCCATACCTGGGCTATTGTAAATATGCTGTAATAAACTATTTTCAAATTAGCGTTTTGGTTTTTTTGGGTATATATCCAAGAATGAAATTCCTGGATCACATAGTATTTCAATTTTTAATATTTTGAGGAATCTCCATACTGTTTTCCATAGTTGCTGCACCAGTTTGTATTCCCACCAATAGTAAGCAGATTGATTGTAAGGTTTCTAAGCCCAATAGGCTGAGTTTCTCAAAAGTTCCTACCTTTGATGGAAGTTACAGAAATTACAGATACATAATTGAAAATTATACTTTATGAGAAATAGTTTAATGTTTATTTCCTTCCTTCTTTCTTTTCCTCTTCTTCCTTTTTTCTCTCTCTCCTCTTCCTTCCTTCTTTAATACTGAATTGATGGTAATGGATCAACTTTTTCTTTTAATTTTAATGTTTTTATTTTTTAAATTTACATCCAAGTTAGTTAGCATATAGTGCAACAGTGATTTCAAGAGTAGATTCTTTAATGCCCCTTACCCATTTAGCCCATCCCCCTTCCCACAACCCCTCTAGTAACCATCTGTTTGTTCTCCATATTTAAGAGTCTCTTATATTTTGTCCCCCCTCCCTGTTTATATATTATTTTTGTTTCCTTTCCCTTGTGTTCATCTGTTCTGTGTCTTAAAGGCCTCATATGAATGAAGTCATATGATATTTGTCTTTCT